AAAAAAAAAAAAAAAAGCAGTTCTTTTAGCGACTGCAGAGATACATCAAAGCAAACCAAGGGGAAGATTTGTGAACATCCTGCCCACTTGAACGAAAGCACGTGTAAGAGCTGTACGTGCTAACAGACTTCTCAGTAAAACCACACACACTGAACAGCATGGCAACCAAGAAATGTTGGGGGGATGTTTTTGTGGGGATTTTCCTTTTCAGTTTGTGGTTCGAGATGATTGATAGGTCACCAGGATGTGCTAAAATGGGGCGGGCAACAGTGACAGAACTAGAGGTTTGACAGAGCATAGAGTTTTCATTCTCATTGTTTTCATAGAATATAGGATTTACATTTACTGCAAAAACTTGGTTCTAAATTTATTACACTGATTTCTAGCTCTAGGCACATATACATGGGTAAATGTTCCCTTATAATCACAGATTATTGAATCTTGTAGTGACACTTCTGAACAGGAACAACCACCAGCTAAGCACTGATACCTACATTATGAATATTATCACCTGCTTTAAACGTATGCTAGCAATGAAGTAACAAAAAGTAACATACTGGAAACAGATTAAAATATGTTTAAAAGAAAATCCTAGTAATTAGTAGGAGATTCCTCTTCAGGAAAATCTACTAATTGGGCCATATGAGTCCTAAAATCTGAGGAGGTCTGGACAATCCAGATCTTGGCTTTCAGTTCAGACCTATCTCTAGTTATGCCTGGTTTTCTAATTGTTTCTCGAGAAAACTACTAAATAAGAATGCATATTTTATTTCTGACTTGAGGAAATGGCTTCTGAATACAAAATTTCATATGGGATAGATTCATGAAACATTTCAGGATCCAAAACATTTTGTCAATGTATGCATTAGATAAGTCTGATTACTGCCATTCTGACATCTGCGAGAACTTAAATGTACAAAAAAATATCATTTAGTGATTACCTAATACACTACAACACACATGGGCCTGGAAGGCATTATTTGCTGAATATTCTACCTTTTTTTTTAGAGTCTATTAGTAAAAAACTTCACTCAAGCCACTTGCAGCCCAGGCAACTGTAACAGGATACAGAGGCTTTTACCTTTATGTCAGAAGTTGGGCTAAAGCCCAAGTCAGTGATGAAAACCACTGGATAGCTGTTTGCTAGGTTATGTAAAATGATTCATTAATCCCAGCCACAGTCACTAATAGACACGTGTCGACATCATTAAAACACACCTATACTTGAATCCCTCGGGGCATGGTGGGGAAAGGAGCACTGGGCTGGGAAAATAGGACTCAAAACTGGGATGACTGCACACTGATCAAAATTCAGAAGTCAAATTTGCAAGATCAACGTGAATGAAGCAAGCAGTCCTTTATCATCCCTACACAGAAGCGCCAAGGATCAAGCCAAATGT